GTGCGTGATGTACAAGCTACTGTCTGAAGCAGTGTTCGAACTATACCGTGGACTTTGGGGGAGCCCACTTGGTTTGTTTTTTTAAACGGGGTGGGTTGGGTTCGTCTGCTTGCGCGTGGGGACTTACAAAGATACATAACAGCTACAAGTGTATGCACTACTTGCTTTATGCAAGCACTATATAGGATAAATCACTATACAGGATTTACCCTATTATACTTTATCGACACGAATTGATAGGTTTTCAACAACCTTGTAAGCAGTGGTGGAGGTAACGAATTACAACTACTCACGTTACTGTAATTAAGTAGTTTTTTTCGGGTACTTGTACTTTTTTGAGTATATTTTTAAAGCTGTACTTTTACTTGTACTTAAGTACAAATTAAGCAAAATAATCTACTTCATTACTTTTAAATCATAGTTCGTTACTGAGTACGTCCACAATTTTAATTGATATTCAAACCTTTGATGGCACTTCAGTAGCCAATAAAGATATCCGATCGTAAAGGGACCAATAACAGCCCTGATATCTGAACCAGGAAAAGCCGCCGCTGCAGCAGGTTTGGAGGAGCTGATCAGACAGTAAGGGAGCTCAGCGTAATTGATGGACTCAAAGTTTGGAGAAAACTACATGGTAGTGTTAATAATCTACTTCATTACTTTTAAATCATAGTTCGTTACTGAGTACGTCCACAATTTTAATTGATATTCAAACCTTTGATGGCACTTCAGTAGCCAATAAAGATATCCGATCGTAAATGGACCAATAACAGCCCTGATATCTGAACCAGGAAAAGCCGCCGCTGCAGCTGCAGCAGGTGAAGAGATGATCAGACAGTGAGGGAGCTCAGCGTTATTTATGGACTCAAAGTTTGGAGAAACAAACTACATGGCAGTGTTATCATAAATATCTATATTTCGATACATATACTGAGATATCTGACTCGGTTCCATTACTCATTTTCCACAGTATCTACCGAATATACACCGACACAAGCTCTTTCCTCTCCGACAGTGAGTTTGACACGCACCCGCCTCCTGTCGATTACGGAGTCTGAATATCCGCACGGGATTGCAGGTATTCCGCATAACTTTAATCATTCCCGAGCAAATGTGGCGACCGCTTTATTGTAACATGAGAACACAGTCATGTAATCGCAGAAATTTGGATGCGAGCTCTCAAATAGGCCTAACTTATACAAATGCACTGCCTGTCCTCTCACTCTAATATTGCTTGTGCGCAGACTGTGTGCAATCGCGATCTCTCCGTGCTTTTAAAGTAGAAATGATTTCTCTTTGCTCCTGGATTAAACTTTGTCAAAAGTTATCAACCATTTAGAATAAATCCACGCCTGATCGATGAAAATGCTACTGGAAATTTTATTGACTGTAAGTGAAATGCACCAGAAAGTCTTTCAACAATCAAAGATTGAACTTTAATTTCTTTACAATGTAAGTTTATGCTAGAAATGTTTTGGAATGGGATATTTGTCTGATTTGTACATATACATATCCTAGTCTGCCTAACTGCATCACTACATTGTACAGGCATTACAGGTCAAAGCCATCTGATGTTCCATTTTTCTAAATAAACAACATATATGGCTCTTAAATCACTTCTTATGAAAATTCAGTGTTGTCATATTTTGAATATATTTTGATATATTGAGGTCATTTGTTTTATAATTTTATTACTGAATGAGTAGGCTACTTGTCTTTTTTTGCAAATTCAATTCCGTTTGAAATCAAGCTTCCTTGTGCTGTAAGCTTTTGCAACCCTATTTTAAAGTTTTAAAGACACAAATACACAGAATGAGGAAATGTTTAAGATTGAGATTTTTTAAATGGTAATTGATCAATATTTATATGTATATAAATAAAAGCCTATATTAAAATCTGTTCATCATATAAAGCTAATGTGTCTTTTGAGAAGACTTGGATTAAACCAATTTCAAAGCTTGAAATAGTAAGCTTGAAATAATGATTGCCTTGAAAAAAAAATGGATGTGCAAAAACATTTTTAAATATTAAAATATCTATATGGCAGTATACAGTATGTGTTCGTTTTGTCAGTGGTATTGAAAATGATTATTTGTCATGAAATCAAAAATGACCCTACTTACTTTTTAGTGCACATTACTAGTCTTGTGGTGAACAATTGAACAATGCCAGTCAATACACTGTAAAAAAAAAATGTCTGCTGTCGTAATCTTTAATCAAAAACTGCTTCCGCTCTGGAAAGGCGTTCTCGCTCTGATGACATCAGTTTGACGGCTTCGGGAGAATCCGCTTGTTAAAGGAACACTCCACTATTTTTGAAAATAGGCTCATATATTACGCAGCGCCTGAAAATAGTCCCCAGCACGCTCCCTGTGCAAGCAGGTGGTCACGTTGGTTATGTTGATGGAAGTTAGCCTATTTTCAGGTGCTGCGTAATATCATTGCGCAGTGAAGCCTGATGTCAGACGTAACAAGCAGATAGGCTATTCTTAACCATGTAATTGAGTATTATTTCAGCAATGTAACAGTACTTGTACTTAAGTACAAATTTTCAGTACTCTTTCCACAAGTGCTGGGCGGTATGACCAAAAATTTATATCGCTGTATTTTTCAAAATTATACCGTTTTCACGGTACATGACGGTATTTTTTTTTCATGCATGACCGGGTGTTAACCATATTTTCTACTGATTGAGAGAGGAAATACTGCAGTATATTGACTTAGAATGCCCTATTCT